GTACATGCTCAGATTTGTACTGGAAGATCATACATGGAGAGAGTGGTCCAAAGCTGTAGTATGAATGTACCTGCAGGCTGCAGCTCACATGGGAGAAGAGAAGCTCAGCACCACGTCAGTTTCTAATGAAAACAAAAATTCTCTACTCCTTCCTACAATGAAACTGGGCCACGCAACAACCGCAGCCTGTTCGATTGGCTGGTTCGTTTCGTTGCTGGTTCGTGAAGAAGTACTGCTGGCTGGCTGGTTTGTGTGAGAGAAAAATATTGTTCTGGCTGGAAATTTACGATCGTTTACGAACAAGCCACAGCCAAACGAACAGGATGCAGATAGAGGACACTGCAAAATTTGGGTCACGCAAAGTCAAAGAGATAATGCGACTAAGTTCCTAGAATAAACCAATTTTGTCCATTAGAAAACAGAAATGAAATGCAAGAACCAATAAATTCTCGAGATTTATTTATTTCCATTTTTCTATTTCACCTTGCGAATTGGATCCATGGCGTCCCTCCTCCAAGGGGACTGCAATCCATCATGCTCCAGCCTCTCAGCATAGGCCACTTGAGGTTTGTGGTCCATTTTCTCCACCAGCAGTCCAGCACCATCGCTGCCGTGTGGCGACGCCTCTGCTCGTCGCTGTTGCTCCCAGTGTCAATCTCGCATCGTTCGAGCTGCATAAACTATATTCCCATACATAGAAATACTACCAGAATTCCTCTTACAAATTATGCCTATTTACTGGGATGGAAGAAATACTGCATTCAACAACCAAAGACTTGTGTTGCTGACATGAAATTAGGGAACAAAGCAAGCATATGAGATAGGTTGACAGCATATAGCTCAAACAGCACACAAGAAATTCCAAACAGTGACAAGCATGTCTCATATGCCAGGTCTCATAGTAAACTGAGAACTACCCAGCAGGCTCGTCACCATGGACATTACAGGAGGCTGGGTACTGGTAAAATGCAGGCAAGTAATAATAGAGGAATGCTGCTTAACAATGGATCCTTTAGATAGTTACCACATAGCCCAATTTCCAAGATGCATAAGTACCTCTCTCCCAATAGGCTCGTCACCATGAATATTTGTAATGAACTGGATGTGTAGCACAAATTAAATCACAGATAAATTCGTGGTACCTTTAATACTAATAATATTAGGATAAAGAGCCTAGACAGTTCAACATCGATTGTAGCTGAATAAGAAAATAAGGTATTATTAACTCAGCAGAGTAGTTGTCAATGCTTTGTTGCAGGAAAGCCATCTGTAAGTATGGATCTAGTATAGTTAATTCAGCTGAGTAATTGCCAATGCACATTGGCATTATACAGTTTCATTTCACCTTTGACACTGCAGAGAAATGTGTTAAGTGTGAACATGCGTACCTAGCCTTTTATATATATATATAAGCAGCTACTGAATAAACTCAGAACTATGTAGTCCATTAGAAAGAGGCAGATTGCACCGTCTCAGAGCAGGCAACAATTATTGCCTGCTGTATCTAAATAGAATATCATACCGACAACCAAATGGAGGAATAGTAACACAAGATGCTGCATCTTGACTGAATGAAGCGATTATATACAATACTCGATGTCACAGATCGTCCAGGTTGGTAAATAATTTCAACACTGACTTGTTCTTGGTTCATGGTAGTGTATTTATATGCTGAGCATCATCTATGCTGACACTACAGCCTCTCAGTCTATGACAGAAAGCATCAAAGAGTGTACACTGATGAATTAACATAAAAAAAGGCAGGGGGAATGGGAACAAAGAACGAGGTAGGATCTGTGCGGCATACAAGATATACCACACTTCAGAAGTAAGAATGTTTAAATCAAAAGGCCTAATCCAGCCCACATAGCAAAAGGAAGAGATTCGTCGAATCTGTAAGCATAACACGAAACGCAGATGAACCACTTGCTCCTAATATTTGTCCACTGGGATGAGGAACCCATGGTTGAAATGGTCTAGTAATGTTCAGACAGCAGAAAGAACTTGCTTTTGTTTGAATAATTCTCTTAGGACCATGAGGCAATTACTACCTTATTTAGGTAGGCTTACTTGGCTAGGCAGCCAAGTCCTGTAACAGAAAGGTTGATGATAGCATTGGCATAGAAATATAAAGATAAGATAGCAGGGATAATAAAGGCAATTATTTTTATTCATAGAACTGCAACTGCTATTCATTTTTCTTTGATGAAATAGAACTGCTATTCGGGTGCGGGTAAGGTAGCGTGTAAGATTGATGGGATAGGCATCAGAGTGAATTTTTATCTATTGAGTCTGATTAGGCACCATGAATATTCTTTGAAATGCATGGAACTACATAAATTTTCAAATAAGAAAGCAAAGAAGGATCTCATGAAGACTTTGGCCAAGCACATGCGGATTGGCAGATGTTGGTCTAGGTATCCATGAATAGAAAAATATGTGTAAATGTACAAATTATTAACCAAAAAGTAAATACGAAATCTACCAGAATGGTACAATGACTATAGATTAGCTACATATTAAGTGTGAGCTTACTGGCAGATGATGCAGTGATGATTTGGTGCTCATGAAATTTCATTTCATAGCCTAGCAGGTGAGGTATCCTTTTTCTCATTTTAACAAACAGAGAAGAATGTTGAATGTAGCCATGTAAAGCAAAGATAAAGATTCGTTGGTTAGCCTATGGAGGGTACTTTTTTCCATGTTGCTATAGACCAATAGGTACTTAGCAATAACCAGGTCATCATCCCCATTTTATGACTCAGGAAGGCAAACCTAAAAAAGTGGCACCAATTCTTGTACTGAATGTTATGTTTCTTGACATGCCATACTATAGAACCTATGGATATCAGATTCAGATTCGTGAACTCAGAAGTTAGAATACAAATGAGGGGAAAAAACTGAATTAATAATGTTGTTCTGCAAATGAAACTATGACGCAACTAAATATTAAATGAATTGGAACATACAGATATAGATCGAAAGGCTACTGATTGCTAAATGTCCACTATTTTTGAGAAGCATACATGGAAATCAAATAGTTAGCAGAGAAATTAAGGAGATTTAAGTAAACAAATCAGAACCATGAGTTCCGTGTACTCAAGGTAATGTACATTAGTACGTCTAACTGTGATAGGGAAATTAGGTGACACGCCTTGCCTTCGGCAGTGCATGTTGAGAATGAAAATTAAGGGGGGTAATATTATTTTGAAAGACAGTTGCATATTCAGTAACTATAGGTTGCACACGTCGCTTTGTGATGCTTCTGTAATTGTAGATATAATATACCGATAATTGAAGCTGATCCCAACAACTGAACAATTATTTTAGAATTCCCAAGCTGATTCTGGTAATATAGTACACAGTGTATGTATAGTAGTTTGAAAACAGAGATTAGAGATTGGCAAATGCGAAATGTTGAGAAATAATTTTAATTAGCAGGCGCCGCACCAACTTAATGGCGGAACTCTAAATAGTGGAAATTAAATTCAAATATCCGCTTAGAACTAATCTTGACAGATCTGTACTGAGAGGAAATCTACCTGTAAATCAGGAAACTCAAGAGAATAGAACCAAGCAGGCAAGAAGGAGAGGAGGAGGCTTACCTGGCGATGCAAATAATGACGTAGGGGTGCCTAGGTTGCTCTGGGATCCTAAATGAAAGAGCTGATGCTGGATACACAGGCGGTGCAAACTCTGAACATTTCTATAGAGCCATGATGGCCCAACATTGTTAAAAGAAGCACACTGGACCAGAAAAAATTCAGATGTAGACATGTGTCGAATAAGGAGAAGATAAAAGTATAGAACATATTGCACTCAGTCTAAAGACTGCATGAGAAAACAAACAGAACAGGCACTTTGGAAGCTAAAAAATCAACAATTCAAATGTGGAAAATGGCAACTACAATCAGTTTGTGGACTGAGATGCTGGCTTTTTTTTTCGTTATCACAGATACTTACATAAGTATGCAAATCACACTTGGATTGTTAGCAACAAAACTCTAAAAACACAAGCAGCCAGTGCACCCAATCTCATAACGAATCCAAATAGAACATCAAATGAGGTTGGCATCATCTTGTTCTTTTAGATATTTGTATGGAGAGAGGAAAAAGTACACCTGTTTGAGCAGCGTAGCTAAAATATGAAGGAAAACTTATAGTATGCAATAGAGGAGTACCCCGCTTGTTGGTACCAACAATACAATTCTAATTTAGACGAAGGATACACCCAAAATAAGAGAAGAAATACACACCTCTTTGAGGAGGCTAGCTGAAATCTGAAGGAAATATAAAGGAAGACTTATAGTGTGCAATAGATGAATGCATCTAAAATATATCGCTTCAAAATTCTTAGACCAGTAAGGAGAAGATGAGGAACCACGGATACAAAGTAAATAGGAAAAACTTTCTAATAATTGTTTGTGGTAGTCGTCTCCAAGCGCGTGGCTCAGTTGTCGTAGGCGAAACTAAACTAATCGAAAGGAAATATCTAACTGTATTGAGCACAGGTAACTAAGATATTGTAACTGAGAATTTTATAGAAAACATGGGTGTAATACCTAACAAAAAAAAGAACATGGAGAAAAAGTAAAAAAAAAATGATCAACAGAGAAGAGAGGGACTTATGAAAAATACCTACACATGAAGGATTCATTGAACGTACACAACACATCACAATTTATATGCCTGTAAGCTGCAAAAAAAGCACAACAGGTTAAATTGCGAAGTACAGATTTGTAATCTTTATGAAACATGGCAAAATCATATAGTGCAATCCCTCTTCTCGAACGCTATTCTAAGAGGAAAAGAAACCTAAAAAAACTAAAAACAACATTCAAACAGTAGCGGAATCATGAATCCAACCTAAATGAAGCAGGAAGGGAAAAAAACGACGGCTAGGTTTCATCGAACACCACAGCATACTGTATCTCCCTCTAGGACGCGGCCTGGCAAGATAAGGACGAGGAAGGGGACGATGCTGTCACGAGCTTGAAGGGATGGAGTCTTTCCCCAGCGACGAAGACCGGGAAGCGCCCATGGACACCCATCCCGAAGCTAGCCAGCAAGGAAAGGGGAAGGGGAAGGGGAAGGTGAAGGGGATGAAGGGAGACAACGCACCTTCACCCGGGTTGCTCGTGTCGGAGGCCTCCCGAGCCCGTCGGAGGCCTCCCGAGCCGGGGATGGCTGCGCCGTGCCGCCGCGCTGGGGCTTTCTGGTCTCGGGAGGGGCAGAGAGGCGGCGGCAGCCGCGATGGGGAGGGTCGGCGGCGGCGATGGGGAGCACCGGCGCTGGAGAGAGGCGGAGGTGAAAACTCGGGGGAGGAGCGGAGGCGTCGAGGGAAGCCGCGCCTGCGCCGACGCCTCGAGAGGAAGAGAGGGAGAGCGGATGGAGACAGGAGGGAGCGAGATACGGATAGATATTTCTAGAGGCCTGCACAGTAAAAATCGGTGGGAGCAACAAGGACCATAGATCACGAAATCCAACGGTGACGTGGCTAAGGTCCCTGCCGAGGTGAACCTTAGGATTGTAGGGGTTAAGGCATATCCTATTCAACTTCTCCCTCAAACCAAACGCACCCTTTGCTGTATGATCTTGGCTCTCGTATCATAAAAGAGGGCACATTTGTCGAAGACGATGAGTGCAACGAGGGTTTGAAAATGGAAATTAGGGGGCGTTTGGGTCTACTCTGCTCTAGTTTTTTTTAACTCTGTTTCACCAACTCCACCATGAAGTAGCTCCACTGTAGAGTTCGTGAAGCAGTTGGTCCTGTTTGACACGCAGTTTAGCTCCAGCTCTAATTTTGTGAGGCTTGCTAAAGAACGGTCTAATGTGCCCTGAATGATGTTTGATGTATTTTTAATGTTTGCATAGCATATGTAAAATATTTTTGTTGCCAATTAAAATATGTTATAAAATATTATAACCATAATTAATTTGTTTTGAGGAAACCAAAAAATAAATATTTTATTCAAATAATTGCAACATGCTTGAACGATAAATATCAAAGTCCATCCTGAGGTGGAGGCGTGCGTGCGTACAGCCAAACAAGTAGGGTCGCAGAAATAAGGAATTGTCAGAAACAGAGGTGTGCGTAGGGGCGTCGGGTCACGAAACATTCGATGGGTGTTTTGGTTAACGAGGGGTAATTATGATTATTTTTTCTCAACCTCACGGGGGAGTTAAAAAATCCAAAACCTAGAGTACTCTGTTAAGGTGCTCTATAGAAAACATGGAGTTGGCCTTTAACTCTACATTTTTTTATGGAGCGGAGTTTTTTTAAGCTAAAAGTGTTTGGCAACGCAGAACAAGAGCGAAGCTTAAAAACCTGGAGCGGAGCAGTCCCAACATTATGTATTGAGTTACGTGTGGCTCACACGTTACAGTGTGCTCAGCAAATACAAAACTGAAACTTATTAACAGAACCTGGCAGTAACTCTACAGCATGTGAAATCACACCCTACGAGTACGATACATTTGTTGACCTGAACTGAAGCTCCTGTTAAGCACAGTACCTTACGTACACGCCCCTTAGGGTCTCTGGGCATTATATATATTTACGATACATGCATGTACATCGTGGAAGCTGTCCAGCGCTGTGTGTTGCACTGACAGCGTACATGCGAAAGGAGAAGGAACGAGAAACAGAGTGGAGGCATTTCTTCAGACAGCGACAAAGCAGAGCACCTAAAAATGTTCTCCCAGTTCGGTGTAAGCTATTTCAGCACCGTACCATCACAGTACAAATGAGACGCCGACAGGTTTCACTTCATCCAGCAAATACATGTGCACATATATAAACATTGTACTACTAGCTACTAAAGAGAGCAAATAAATGAAATATTCTCCCACTCCCCTGATCAGATCGACGTGCTGGTCGCAGCAGTCCCTGCTCTCGAGCTCAGTCCACCGTTACGTTAAGTTACAATGGCCTGGTTTGGATTCCGAGCAAGCTGTTCCCAGATTTTCTGCTCGAATTCACCCTTTTTGGGGCTTGCTTCCTCTTCTTCTTTCTCCTGTATCTTGCACCAAGCCTCAGAATCATGAGCTTCGGCTATTCGTTTGCAATTTAAGTTCAAGTGAACACGGAGGTGGACTTCGTCGACACCTGGGAGATATTCTAGCCCAGAAAACTCAACGTCTTCATTTTCCAGTAAGCTCGTGACCTGCAGGTGCTCAAGTTTGCATTGGGAAACATTCCTTCTTCAAACTTTACCGATTTGACCTTGTTTATTCCTGTGAGCATGAGCACCCTGAGACTTCCAAAAGCCAGTCCAGCATGTGGAGATTTGAAATCAAATTCTCCAATCTGAAAAGATCCTCCAGAGAGACCTTGAATCTCAAGCTTTGGTAGTTTCCCAAGCAATTCCATTGCAGCATCGTGCACCAATAGCCTATTGTCCACTACTTTCAACTTCACGAGATGCTGGAGCTCATTCATCCATTCTGGCAACTTTTCCAGATTGCCGTACAGCTTGAGGCTCTGCAGTTTTTTTTCTGGAGGTGAGGACATCTCATCCAAGCAACCACACAAACCATGCTTTCCTGCTGAACTCACCGACAGTGATTCTAGTCTGCTGAGATTGGAAATGGACGAGCAAAACTGCAAAACGCACGGCTGTTCTTCTTGCTGATGCCGGCCACTCCTAACTTGTGCAATCTCGTGAGCATTCTTATGTCCTGCAGAATGTTATTTCCCCTTCCGACAGTCACTTTGTTAGCAGCAAGAGAGGAAGAGGAGACAGACAACAGGGGCAATTCGGAGGACAGGATTTCTTAGATGACAAGTTTGTGTTAGTTGATCTCCACCAATAGGCCCAACGGCCTATTGGACCCTTGTCTCTGCTCCCTGATCGGGGAAGCCCAACCCTAATCCGGTTGGTGGGCCCCTGTCGCACAGCATAAATAAAAGGAAGGTGGGGGATCAAGGCTCGGATGACGATGTTCACTGGAGCCGCCATCCCACCCACAGTAAACCCTAATCCGATCAAAGAGGTGCTGCAAGCGATGGGATGTGCCCCACCAACCTCACCGTCGCGCCTACAGGGTCTCCGTCGTCACCCCTGCAGCGTTACCGCCGCCACCACTGTACCTCGCCACCGAGCCAGAGCTGCCTCGGCACCGGTGTCCGCGAGGTCACGACGCTACTGTCCCAGGGCGACTAGAGGAACCCTAAAGGAAGAGGTCGTCACCGGATCTACGGTTACAGAGAGGTACACCATCGATCATAACAATGGTACCAGAGCTAGGTTGCCTCTGTGTAACCCTAACCCTAACCGGATAAAAGCAAAAAGAAAGAGAGACCGGGGTGGCGGACATCACTGTACCGGTCATGCCGGTCACCACCGCCACCGCGCGTGGGGGAAGAGGGGAAAAGATGCCGCAGCGTTCGACGGCGCACGGCAAAGAACAGAAAAGATCAAATCCAGTTCGGATCTGACAAGAAAGAGGGTTCTTCCCAACTCTAACCCTAACTCGCGTGAGAAAGAAGAAGAGTGGGTTCGGATTTGGCCGAATCCTAAGACCTAACCCAAGAAAGAAAAGCAAAGACGGACGAATCAAAAGAAAAGGTTCAACTGAAACCCTAACCCTAATTTGTAACCCCATCCCAAATCGGGTTAATCCCAAAAGAAGAAGGGGAAGGGAAGAGATTCGGATGAACTCCAAAAGGAAAAGAAATCAAAGAAAAGAAAGGAAATCCAAAGAAGAGAAAAAGAACAGAGGTCGACACACGAACCCTAACCCTAAATCCATTCGGATGAACTCTGAAAAGAAAAGCAAGATCACAAAAGCAAATCAGAGAAAGGGGAAAGGGGAGGGTCGGATACCGAACCCTAACCCTAGATCTAAACCCTAATCCCCAACACTCAATGGTTCGGATAAGAGGAAAACTGATCCAAATCAAAGAGGGGGAAAAGGGGAAGAGAACGAACTCGCCGTGCACCGCGCTGTCGACATCGCCATCGCGCAGGAAAAGAAGACCGAGCCGGGGAAGATTTTTCGCCGGGCTCGGCCAAGGGGGCGCCGCGGCCAGGCCGCTCGACGGCGGCGTGCTCACCCGTCGGGGAGCACGCGCGCCGGCGAGGGGGCCGGCGATGGCGCCATGGCTGCCTCGCTCCACCGCCCGCTCACTCACCGTCTGGCTCTCGGTCACTCGGTTGCGCAGCGGCTGAGAAAGGAATAGAGAGAGGGCGAAGAGAGAGAGAACAGCGGAGAGACTGAGCTGGGTTCGCACCGGCTGCGGCGTCGGCAGGTTTTTATACCGCCCAAAACAAGCGCCCGGCCATCGGATCGAAATCAACGGCACAGATCAGATCGGGCCATCGCCGGCACAGGCGGGCACGCGCGGCAGCGCAACTTTGACGGCCTAGGCCCAGGTTGCGGCCTGGGTGTGGCCTGCGCGCGCGCGGAGAGATGGGCTGGGCCACTGTATCAGTTCCAGCCCAATAATGAGGTTTTGAATCTATTTTGTTTTTTCATTTTCCAGTAAAGATTTTATTTCCTGGAAAATGAATAAATGGTTCAAAAGAAAAAATAGAAAATGTAATTTTTCCCTGTGGGTAAAATTCAAGAAATTGAGTATACGTTTTCCGTTGCTAAAGAAAAAGTATATTCTCCAGTGATTTTGAATCGACGTGATATTTAACTGGAGAAAAAGAAAGTTTTTCCAGTAAATGTTTATTTCCTGGAAAATGATTAATGGATTAAAGAAAATAGGAAAATTAATTTTCCCTGTGGGTAAAATTCAAGAAAAAGAAAGTTTTTCCACAGCTAAAGAAGTTGTTTATTCTCTAGTTATTTTGAACCAACGTGGTATTTAATTAGAGAAAAAGTGAGTTTTCTGCTGCTAAAAAATTATTGATTCTCTAGTTATTTTGAACCAAAGTGGTATTTAATTGGAGAAAAAGAGATTTATCATAGATTATGATGTTGTTATTTTCTGACCAACGTTGTTAATAACAATATCGTAATTTTAATGATTTATGCATTAATTATACTTCTGGCCAACGGTGATGTAGAATTAGTGTATAAGAACAGATGTTAATTTTAATGATTTATGCATTAATTCTATTTCTGCCCAACGGTGATGTAGAATTAGTGTGTAAGAACAGTTGTGAAAGTTAATGATTTATGCATTAATTTTATTTCTGCCCAACGATGATGTAGAATTAGTGTATACGAACAGTTGTATGTTTTGATTTTGACCAACGTTGGAATCAAGGCATGCAAATGGTGTTAATTTTATGATAAGAAAAGTTTTGATCTAGTTTTCATCTTGTCTAAGGTGGACTAGGTAGTTACCTCACCGTGTTCCACTGAGTTTGTGGCACCAGTGAGGGAGACAAAAGAGAATGATGCCACTTGGGCAACTAAAGAGAGGGATTTTAAATCCCAAAAGATAGTCCTATGACTTTTGTGCATAGGAAGT